TGTGTCACGTAACAGGGATAGTAACCGCATCTCACGAAGTGCCCGTCACGTGCTGAATCACGTGTCTATCTCAGACATCGTGTATATAGACCTTTTCCTTTTGTCTATTTCTACTTTAATATGTTAAGCCACTTTTACCACACTCCGTATGCCCATTGCTGCGTGCCATAACTCGTGACAATATCAGTGCTACATGTGAACACATTCTCGTCTGAAACGTCGACAGGTGGGAATATATGGCCTCGCCAACACCATTCTCTGAAGCCTTTTGCAAAACTCGGCAAGATACTAGGAAGATGACATTGTGCCACAGAGGTAAGTGTCCCGTCCGCCATACTGACCAAAACTATGTAATCATTCGACCATGGCGCAGCAAACGATCGTGATATAACAGCGCCGTGTACTGGCCAATCAGGACTATCGCTCCTCTTACCATAGCCCATCTTCTTGTTGTGAGCCAGTTTGCGGTAGAATAATAGCGTTCCTCTGCTGGTGAAAAGGGGCAAAGTTGCAAACTACTCAACATTCTCTTGATCCCATTCTTTACACACGTTCCATAACATGAATGCATGAGAGACGTCCCCAGGATCTTGTTCAGCTCCTACAAATAGCGCTCATTCTTTGGTCCTGTTGTCGCACGTACCGTTGGGCCGGCCTTGTACATCATCATGTTCTGATATCATGCTTTTGTGCCACAAATGTTCACAAAAGTTAGACAACACTGAGTATCTCAGCTAACTGATGTAGAGAGATGCAAGACCCGGATGGCCAAATCGATCAGCTAAGTGATCTGGGAGCAACCTTATTTGCTATTTCAAGCAAGAGCCCAAGAAATTTTCTTCTGTTCACTGAGTGAATTCCGCTTCGTACAACTCCCTGCCGCAAACAGCTCTCTCTGGGCCCTTGACAGCAACAAAACTTGTCCGTCGGCTCCCTCTTGTCAATTTCAACATCCCAGCACTCAACAACCCAGCCTCACTTTGAGCAACCTAGCTAGAAAATGAAGCTTCGTTCGAAAATCACATACTCGTTTGAATATGTCAACAATCACATTCGCTGGGCAATCTTGCCTCCAGAGATTCGACTGATGATCCTCGAGCAAGTTGAAATCGGATATAAAGGACACGATTTGTCGGACTGGGCAAGCGTCTCAAGGGAATGGCAAGCCTTCTTCGAAGCGCGGATTTTCCAACGCCTGAGGCTTCGGTATCCTGGTTCCGACATCGATAATCTAAGCTCTTTTGTTCACGGTTATCGAAGAGATCTAGTCAAGGAGATACTACTCCACGTCAGCCTTGACGAATACGATAACGTGAACAAGTTCGACGAACCAGAGACCCGAGACACGATCAGAACGAACAACAAGCTCTTCAGTCAAGCGCTAAAAAAGTTATTCATCTCTCTTTCAACATGGTCTACGCCGAAATGTGGCGTCAAATTAAGGTTGAGCGCCAGCTCTCCGAGTGATTCAGGCCACCCCTGGGACCATCGCGCCGAGGCGAGTCAACATGATCGCAGACGCATATACTCCTCAAAGTCGAAACAGCGTCTCCTCGGCAACTTATTGAACACCAGTTCCGGCACTCTCAAGCTTGCTCAGGTCCCCATCGTCAGAAAGCTTTTCGTAAACCAATATTGCTACAGAAGTATGTCGGAGGCATTGCTTGCGAAAGTTCTTGGTAGTCTTTGCCGTCTCAGGACTGTCAGCTACGAGCCATGGCACGCGATAGCTCAATACGAACAATTCCCCCGCGACGAGGCAATGATCATGCTACTCGACCGTGCGGCCAAAATTTCCACGATAAGTTCAGTACATGTTTGGGAAGCGCAGTCTAAACTTAACGGAAGCCCGCGTTTTCTTCGGATGCGCAATGACGACCTTGTATCTTCGGCGGTCAACGCAAGCTATCGGCTCCGGTTTCTTACTCTCTGTCACGCTGTTGATGCTACAGACTTCTTCCGGCATTCGTCAAGGGATATACCGGAGAATACCACTGAGCTATCAGATAGTCTTCGAGCCTGGCCAGCCCTTACAAATTTAGCCCTAACGACATGTATTGGAGACCTAGTAACCAGCCCGTCAGCTCTAGATCGTCTGCTTCTTCAGGCAAGCAGGGCTGCTCTGCGCATGCCCTTACTCAAGAAAATGGAAATTTGGGCCCCGGGCGCCCGTGAGGGATTTATTCTGAGATACCACGTTTGGAGAGGCTCGCCATTTCTTACCGTTATAGCGACATGGCAGCTCAAGTTGAGTAAGGAGGCTTTGAGATCATGGGAACAAGTGGCAGCTAGCTGTACAGAACGCGGACTGACCTGCAATGTGAGGCTGGTGAAAACGGAAACTACAATGTCCGACTCACCATATGCGCTTTGTCACATGTTGGCATTATTTCCGCAACTGAGAGAATGGAAACTACTTTCAAGGTTGTAGACATAGATGTACAAGAGTTTCACCGGTTTGATGATACATTAATTGAGGCATGTATTTTGAGTTCTCGTGTTCTGGAAAATCGCGTTCAACGCAGTCTATCGTGAATTGACTGACCATTGAGATGTCTTGGGAAGCAAGGGAAAGTGATAACAACAGGAATGTAAAGAATGAGTGCACGGGATCACCTGAGATCTATAATTAGGCATTGGAGAGTATCGCGGTATTTGCAAGCCGGTACTGGCATTCAACGGCCGAACAGAGTGAGCATACTGCGGAATTGCGACCATACCCAGTGACTTGTTGTGGTCTCTCTGCTGGCTTTTCTCGAGCTTGTTCGATCTTGCTTCAAAGAAATCTCAGGGGTAAAAAATGGCATTCCCATGATCACTCTAAAGCGATAATGACAAAGAAGAATTGACATCTATTAACGGACCTCATCGTTCGTCGCAAGCTGTGGCGGACGTATTTGCAGTTTCATACGGCACTACTACAAAAGCGCGAACGCTATGAGAGCCATTGTTGATTTACACCGATTTGCACTTGAAAGATTGCACTTATCGAGAGCATGTCTCTCGAGCCAATCTCCCAAACGTCTCGCATTAGCATGATCCGTGATCCGCCCTGCAGGTCCACACAATCGATCGAACCGGAAAAGGCAAGTCCTTGTAACAAAGAACAAGTCTTTTAGAGCTGCATGTAGTGTGATTCAATGTACCTAAGCAGGCAGGGATGTGGCCAATAGAGTACTCTTTGTTTCTTGGACCTTGCTTCCTTGACCAAGTCGTCTTAGTTAACTTTTAATCGTGAGACTACAATTTCTGTCAAGGTCATACCAGTGATAATCCGCCCATGACATCTACCTGACCACAAGATACGGCTGTGAGTCGTCTCAGACATGCGCATCTTAGAGTTACACATCACAGGGAGGTTTCGAATGTTCAGAATCACTTTTAGACATGACCCGTTGAAGAGCCAACCAATACGTAATGATGAAATCGAGATTGAAGTTGAAGTTGAAGTTGAAGTTGATATTATGCAACGGACTGCTTAAGTCCTCGTACTAGAAAAGTGCCTATAACTCAATCGAGCCAAGCCGATTTCCATGGCTTTGCTCACCCAAAAAGCGCCAGTAATAAGTGCATGCCATGTTGAAAGTGGATCAGCCTCCAGCAACGCCGACATCCATGCAAAAAAAGCGCGACTTTCCATCAAAGCCGCATTCAGGCTTGCTGTAATTCATTTACTCGAAATCCGTCATTTCACTCCATCTCAACATCGACCCTAACCCTCGCCTCTCACCTCTGGCATCTTTGCTCATTGTCGTAGTGAAAACCTTTGACCAGCTAAACGACCCGCAAAGTTGAGCTGCTGAAAGAGCCCTGGCTTAATCCTTCTTCATGCCGTTCATCAGACCATTGGTCAGAGGCGGTGCCTTGGCGGCAGCAATAGCTTGCTTGTTCGCGAGCTGCTTCTCCTTGGGAATAGTCAGAGCGTTGATGCCGAGGAAGTTGCAAATACTCGTGATGACCAGGTATGCCCAGCGGAAGTAGACGACGGCCGAGAAGACGAAGTAGCCGTACAGATAGTACAGCTCAGTCTGGGCACTGATGCCCGGAAGGCCCAGACGTGGAAGGTTGGCAAGCGCAGCACCACCAACAAGGGGCACAAGCATGACGGTCCAGTAAGGGAAAGGCTGCTTCGTGAGGTGAGCGAGAATCATCTTCGTAGTCAAGCGGCCGAATACGAAGGCCATGGTGACGCAGAAGAGAACAAGGTGGTTATCGCTACGAATGGCCGAGTACGGCGAGTAGACCCAGGCGCCAATAGCAAGGGTGTACACTGTCATGGGCGTCCACTCGAGGAAGACAGGGGCTACGGGCTCACCGCGCGAGCGGCGGGCCTGAATAACGTGGAGAACGCAGAAGGGGATGTGGGTTGCGAAGAGCGAGAAGACGATCATGGCAATCCAGATGTCCCGAATCGAGTAGTCTCCCAGCAGGTAGTGGAAGCCATAGAGATGCTGTTCGGCCTTGTCGCCAAGGATGTTGATGATGGGCTCGGTCCAGATGCCAGGGCCGTAGATTCCAGAGACAACCATGACGCTGCAGGCGATCAGAATACCTTCGGTTGGACCGTTGATCCTGCCCAGGTAGAGAGTGTGGGTGTGGTATGTCTCCCAAGTCGAGAAGAACATGGGCAGGCATGGGACAAGGGCCGTAAAGACTCCAGACTTGGAAGTGCCGAGGCCCATGGCAGCAGTCTCGAGAAGACTGGCCAGGGTGCAGTTCAGGGAGTCAATGCCGTGGTCGAAGAGCTCGCCAAGTCCGCTCGAGGTTCCGGTGCGTCGCGCTTGCTTGCCGTCGAGGTTGTCCATCGTCTGGTACATGAAGAGACCGAAAGCGAAGCTGTAGTATAGCCATGAAGGGCCCTATTGACACGCGAATTAGCCGGACTGTCCAGACCTGCGGACGTCTGACTTTGGCTGGGAACTCGAGCTTGACTTACCGGTCCTACCAAGTCAGGCATGAAAATGACCAGGAGGCCAATGTTTCCGAGGATCATGAAGAAGCCCAGCAGAGTGACCATATTCGGTGCCAGCCATAGCGGCAGAAGCTCGACGGCAGCATTCCACTACGATGAGGCTTGGTTAGCAATATGTTGGAGAAATGCTGAGGTCGAGGCCGCTCGGACGGCGCGGGGCAGCGGCGGGTAGGAGGGGAACAGATGGTCGGAGAGGCTACGCACGTAGGGTCGGAGGATGTAGTTGGAGATGGGCGACTTGTCGACGGCCGAGTATTTGTAGGACTTGAGGTGGATGAGGGCATCGTCCGAAATGCATTCGGCGGCAGCAGTTCCTGTAAGATGGATTGTTAGCTGTCGTCCACGTATGAGGTTCCACCATAGCTCCCAGACAAGCTCTATTGCCATCAATTGTACGCGCGCACTTTGAAGGTGACGCCGAGGCCATCCAGGTGCCCTGGCGCATACGGCGAGGTCAGTCTTTGGGGGAAGAGGGTTCGTGCTTACTGTCTGAAGTTGCGGCGCCCATGGCTGCGAAGAATTGCGTCAGAGACACAAAATCCAATCGATGTAGAATCTCAGGTTGCGGCGGGGGGAAGGAGATGGAGGGGGAAGGTTGAGGAGGAGTGCCAGAGGCAGGAGAGTGGGATGTAACAACGGCCGTGGGGAAAGGAGGGGATGGAGGAGGTATTAAGCAGAGGGCCAAAGGTAAATGGAGGACGGGAGGCACAAGAGGATTGCTCGGCTTCCACCGCAAGTTGACGTGCAGTGCAGACTTGGGATCGAAGGTGCGTAAGGTAGGTAAGGTAAGTAAGGAAGTACCTTATTGAGTTCGCATCATAAGGCAGGCCGTGCCGTTGGCTCCCGTCCAGGTGTCTCTCTGCCTCTCTCTTTTTTTTCTAATTCTTTTTTTATTAGGGGTGAAAAAGTGGCCGGGGTCAGGCAGATGAAGTGGATTTGCGGTTGCGACCAGCAGCAAATGGCACGCACCGCAGGCACAAGCTTCTCTTTCGGGAACAAATCAGATGCACCTCAACTTTGTCCAGAGGCCTGGGGCGGCCGGGGCGAGGGGCGGAAGGAGGGAGGCTCAGTTTGCCGTAGGTACGCGGCCGTCGACGTGCGTCAATCCAGCGGCTCCAGCCCACCGCCGCAGCAGGAAGAAGCACGTCGGCGGATACGTACCCCAAGTCCCAGTCCCAACTCCCAAGTACCTTACTCCGTACCTACCTAGGTACCTAAGGTACCAAGTTTGAAGTCCACCGGGAAAGGAAGCTCGTGATTTCTCTCCTCGGTCCTCGTCTTCTCCTTCCATTCTCGTACCTCAAGACGCATTCAACTTCACCTCTACCATCATCATCCATCACCGCTTTCAATGCCAACTACATCACTTTGGCACTTACATCATAAAATCCACGCCCACGTTACTGACAGAAACCACAGCACACCCCAATTGCGAGACATCCACGTCCTCTCGCCATATTTCCCCTGCAGGAAATCACATGGGCCCATCTGATCCTCGACACGCACAAATCGGAGGTCTGACGGACTGCGACGACCGCACCACTGCAGCCGATTTACGCTCATACGGCCCCGCCCATCTCGGCGTTCAACAAAAATCTCAAAAAGGACCCTATTAAAACACACCAGCTCCCAAACGCCCCAAGCTCCTCACCCGTTTCTTCGCTCCTCAAGGCCCCGAGACAGAAAACATCCAATCAACGCCGGCTCACGCAGGGATTCTCCTCGCGTTTACCGCCTTTTTACCGCGCCTTCCTTGCCCACCATTGGATCGATATCATTGATTTCACCATCCGGGGGCTCCTCCGACGGCCCTAAATCCGCCTCCAAACCTCGAACCGATGCAGACTTGACTGTTCCACCACTGGACATTGGAACCCAAGGACTCGATGCTACCCACTCTACCTACCTTGGTCTCTACATCATACGCGCATTGACCGGTGATTAGCATGTGAGAGCCAACCTTCGTTCCGTCTGGACTCTGGATTCTGGAGCTGCCCCAGAAAGAGTTACGGTGCACATCGGCGAGGTAGCACCGGGCCCTGCTCACCAACACACCGAGCCCGCCCGCCTACCTCCACATAAACCTTCCCCGCCAGGATATGAGCTTGCACCGGCCGATGTTCACTGGGTTTGGTGTTAGATCGTCTGGTTGTCGGCCCCCAAAGAATCTCACTGGGCAGTTGGTTTTCTACTTGTGTAAAAGCCTGGTCGACATTCCTGCACGATGACATGCGAGCAACCCTGCTTCGTCTTCCCCTCGACCAGCCTTAGGCACTCCGTAGCTCAGCCCCAAATCGAGGCCGTCGAGATCGGGGCCGGCCTGGCTCGCGCTGACCTTACCGAATGCTGGTCCCCGTGACCCCCGCTCCGGTATGTATGGCGGCATCAGACTTGCATGTGGCACAGGCCGGCTGGAGTCCTGGACGGCGCCTTACTGGTCACCTATTTGACTTGTCTGGCTTGTCGATAATCCAGCCTGCCCACTTACAGGTCTTCGGAACATGTGTGTTGAAGTTTGTCTGGCTCTCATTGGTGCCCGCGATGCTGTCACACCTGCAAATTCCGATGCTGCCTTTACCACGGCTCTCGCATAACGCAGTTCTCCATCCCGAGCCTCTTGCTGGCGATGGTAGTCTATGCAGGCTAATCTGATGTTACTTGCAATCTAGGACAATCCACATCACGGGAACGATCCTCAGACGGGATGAACGGGACGGATGGTCTCGTGCTCAGCCATGAGATAAGACCTGATGGATTCATCGGCGACTCGCCGGTACAACGGAGACGCCAGGCAACACTAGTTCATTGGGATGATGGGATGACAAGCCAGGATATCACTACGAGCGACGGGACCTGCTTGCTTGTTCATGAAGCTCAACTGCTTCTCCGCTTCTGATTCCATTCTTTTTTCTCTCTTTCAATCTTTCTTCTGCTACTGCTCTGCTCTGCTCCCGCGAAAGATGACGCACAACGCTAAAGACAGATTTGCCCAACCCAGATCATCCCCGCTCCGTTGCCTATGTGTGTTCTGCCCGAAAGTATTAAAAAGACATTATTTGTTTGGTTGATCCAGAGGCCCATGATTCAAAACAACTCGCCCATAAACGCCGAGCATGTGATAAAAAGCTTTGTGCAAGAGGGTATTCAAAAGAGCGGACGTGACAGAACACACGGCAATTAACGACGCTTCTTCCTCCGCCATTCTTCCTGCTTCCGTCTCTTTTCTCTTCTTTGTTTTCTTTCATCTCCCGAAACAAATCGGTAGCGTGCTGACTTAGAGCAAGAGAGCAGCACCGCCGATCAAGCTACCGACGAGGATAGCCAGGCCAGCGCTGCGACCCATTTCCAGGGCCGCGGCACCGCTGCCGGACGACGAGCCGGAGGAGGAGGAACCGGAGTCGCCGAGGCCGGTGTAGATGGCGCCGCTCGTCTCGGAGGCCGTCGCAGAGGCGGTGGCCGTGCCGGCGGTGGAGGTCGAGTTCTGGCGGGTGGGGTTCTGGGCGCCGCAGGGGTTGTTCTGGCGGCAGTTTGACGAGCACTGGTTGGCGCCGAGGCCGCAGGCCTTGACGCACTGGTTGCCGTACTCCTGGCAGACGTGGTAGGGCAGGGTGAGGGAGTACTCGGTCATGTTGGGCTGGTTCTTGTCGCCGCAGATGCAGCCGTAGGTGAGGGTTTCCTGTGTGGGGGGGAAAGAGATCAGCTTGACTCCTCCATGTTTTACTGTTGATGGCGTTGGCTACTCACAGGGTCGCAGTCGTTCACCAGGGTCGTCCGGGGCTCGACCTGCTGGCAGATGATGGGGCATGTGTTCTTCTCGTCGGCGCACCAAGCCTCTGCAGGTTTCCTGTTAGCATACTGGCCAAATCACCAACCACCGGGTAAGCGTTTCCGGAGGGGACAGAGGAGGAACAAATTCGTACTTCTTGTGGCCAGAGGAACGGATGAGGGCTCGACGTAGTAATCAGCCTGGGCCGTGGCGACAAAGGCCGCGGCAACGGCGAAGACGGTGCTCTTGAACGAAGGCATTGTGATTTGTGGGGATGTGTATATGCTGAACCGGTGTCGAAAAGGATTCCTTTTGGGTATATGTACGGGCAAGTTGTTGTTGTTGTTGTTGTCGTTGAAGGGGAGAAAGATTCTCAGGAAAAGTTGACAAGATTCAAATATTAATATCGACTGTAGTGCGTTTCCTGGTCAGCAACCCGCCTTGTGTATGTTTATAGACATCATCTTTTCGTCCCTATGCGGTCCTTTTGCTGCATTCCTAAAGTCTCCCCAAGCCAGGCCAAGGTCTAGAGGGGATGATATGTCCAACGCCTATTCGGGCCAACAACACATGGCTTTTTGGCCCAATTTAGGGTGATTGGGGCGGGCAGGCGGGCCAAGGAGGCCAGAGCTATGAACGAGACGTTGAGGAATGGGCGGTTTTGACTTACGCACTAATAATAAAATGGAGCCCTTTCGTTGCTGACGAAAGTGGACTGGTCTGGCCGAGAAGGTACTAGTAGCGATAGTGAGGCTGGAAAATCGGTTTGTTTTGTGCCGTGTGTATAATGTTGGCAACTGGCGATGCTGGAGCGACTGAGATGTGAAGAGTCTGGGGGGGAGAGGATGAAAAGGTTCGGGTGAAATATATGTGCAGACACGTTCTTCAACTGTGTAACGACAGACCGAGACAAGACGATACAGACACACGCGGAGGGATTCAGGAGGGAGGTGAAAGGTGGAAAAGGGAGAGGAGAAAGGAGGAGAGAAGCGGAATGGGAATCGTCAGAGAAGTTGACGGTTCATATTCAAAAAAGCCCCGGGGCACAGAGCCGTGGGGAGGAAGGTGAGAAGGAGCAGACAAGCTGGACGCACGACTTTTGCCAAGCGGGCACTAAGGTTGACTAGCACATATTCGAGGTGGTAGTCTGCTCGTTCGGACCAGGGCCTTGTCGGGAAGCTTCTATTCGCAAATCCACATTGAAGTATCCGTGGTATTCCGCACGGCACCAAATAAAGGAGGCCCGGGGTCCCAGGTACAACACCATGGGACCTCTCTTGCGATAATCCACAGGCAGGCATTTGCATGGGAGTCTATAGAGAGGAGCCGATTGACTGTCGAAGAGGACCGAGGAGAAAAACAGGCAGAATTGGGTTTAGCACGTTCTCCACGCCAGCCACCCGGCGTATTTCCTGCTGGTGGTTGTGCGGTCGTGATGGTGTGGTGCTCCGTACTCCGTACGTATGTACTCCGTACAGATACCGTTTCTCGAGAAAACGTCCCAGGGTCGAGAAAAGGAGCTAAAAATTGGCCAGGGTTCGTTTGGGGTCTGTTCATCGGCATCCCATCACCCCCCCTGATGCCCAATCACAGGATGAACCCGTCCCCTGCTCTTGGGGATCGGATGGAGAATCATTGACTTTTTTTTGATTTTTTTCTCACTTCTCAATGTCTTTTCCCACCATGCACCTGTAATGCATCTGTACACTATGGTACGAGGCGTTCGACGTCGAGGGCAGCGCGCCTCTCCACAGGCCACCATCTCCAGAACGAAGAGTCACCACTTTTGTCTGACCGAAAATCACAGGTTGCTGATGGGCGGATATTGATAACGTGAGGGGAACCCAGCCCGCAACCTGTCTGGCATGTCTGTCTCTTGCCGCCCTTGCCATTGACCCGCTTGAATGGTAGGGAGGCATGGTTGTTTGTGGTTGTGTCTCTGGAGCCCTAGGGTGCCTCTTCCTCAAAATTAGGTAAGTCAGAGAAGCCCTCTATCTGCACTCCGTAGACTCTTGATATTGGGCAAAGCAGGATTGGCAGGCCATGGCAAGGTCGGGTTGGTGTGTGAATGCTTCCTCGAGGGTGGCTCTCGTAGCGGCTCTCTCTCCCGTGGTCTGTCTTGGTCTTGTGTTTCTATTCGGTGGATATTGAGGCTTAGCAGAGGAAGGGTTCAGTGGGAGCATGCCGCTCTCTGCAGGGATCCATCCATTCCATGGCCTGGGGCAATTGGCTTTTTGCGTCGCCGGCGCTGCAACACTGCAGTCTGCACTTTGTCTGCAGCACCGATGGCACTAAAACGATTGTTAGCGTCTCCTTACTTGTGCCGCTAACGAGATCGGGTGTCCATTGTTGCCCGGAGATGAATCTCCTCTCCACAAACTGCAACTTTGCACCGCGCGAGCCCACTGAAAACCCATACAGACTTCAAACTCCAAAGCCCTTCTCTCGTCGTTGCCGCAAGAAACGAGCGATCTGATTATTCCATCCGATACTGTGTATTCTCTGTGCCTCTGTATCCGCAGCAGATCCTCAAATGCCGGTCTTAAGAGCCAGCAGACATGGCAGAGAATAGTCAAGGTGTCGAGAGGCAGGCCTTTGCAGCATTGCCGAGGTTGCGGTGACGGCTTCTATCGACTTTTGGCTCGTTAATTGCAGCCCTGGACCCGTTTGAGATTGGAAGGCCCGGCCTGTCCGCCCTTCGCCATTCGCCATATCTTTGCTGATCCCACGGCAATCCTCCTCTAAGGCTTGCCTGGCTCAATTCCAACCCCGACCTCAACTGGTCTTGTGGAAGCTGCCTCGTGCTTAGGTAGGCACTTCATCCAGTCAGCGGCGTCAGCTAGACATTCCTGTGCTCGTTCGTATCCCCACGAAATGCCAGACATACTGACGACGACGACGACGAATCCGTGTCTACCTTGCCTGCCGGTTATTCCTTCGAAGCTGTGGCGCCTATTCGTAGATACGGACACACGGAGTAATCGAGAATCGAGACTCGAGACCGTATCCCTCCGTATTCGAGGACAAACCAGTCGGATTCCCACTTGAGTGCGACTTTGCAGGTCGGATGACCAGACCCATTGTTGATTACGAGGTTGCAGAACACTGGAACTGTCTCGATGCTCTCCATAAAATGCGGCGTGAAAGTTATGGAGCCAAGACCACCTTGTTGTGCAGTAAACTTCGCCGCCAAACAGAGCCAGCCCCTCTTAATCCTCCCCTTGGCTCCCTGTTAGCACAACTTTACGAGGCCACCATCTGCAACATGCACTTTCTGTGTAGCGAGACAAGACTCAGGAGTAAAAAGGTTGTACCCATCGGCCTGCCGGGAAACGTCTGGGTGAGTCTGTGGGGTTCTCCCAACCGCCAGCATTTTTCTCTTTTGTGAGGGACTTGACACCACTTGCTGGGTTCCATGATGTGTAGGGAGTATCCGTAAGAAGCACAGCTATCGCTGTTCCCGGCGTCCCACTGGCTGATCGCCACTCGTATTCTGCAGTCTTGTGCTGTGCAGGACAGCCGATGCAGCTAGTATGTATGGTCGTGCCGTCTAGAGCAGCTCGGTGGACGTCGGCTGTTTGGAATTTCATCTTTGTCCACCACAATGAAATCGGAAGGGCTGGCAATGACTCGCTGACTCCAGAGGTTCAACTTGAATATTGAGGTGGTTGGCTCCGCCCGGATCTTGTCTGTTGCCTCCGAGACCCCTTCCTCCGGGGTGACGATCCCAAGCGCCCCAACGTCTCCGCATCGATGCCTCTCTCTGTTATTAGCAGAGCGCTGACACCACACCGTTGATGGCAAAAATACCCTTCGAATTCCGAAGTGCCATTGGGCTGTCCGTGGTAGATGTCAAGAATGGCAAACTGGCCGCCACAACTGAACCTGTCAACTTGGCAGGGCGTTGGCGGCTATGAGCCTTTGCGGATGTTACTTGTATGTCGGGTTGGGTTTTCGAAACCAGAGGTCTTAGGTCTTACCGTGATGTCGTTACAATGCACTCTGCAAGTACCGAGAGGCCTACCAGCCGCCAACAGGGACATACTGGGGTAGACGACGTAGAATCGAAATGGAAGCCGAAGACTTAACCCCCTGCTCGACAAGATGCGCTAGTCGAGAGGGTGTCGTGGGTGTCAACCCTCCAACTCCACCGCGGCTTGGTTTCTGCTGCTTCGTATCCGCACCGATGTGTTGGGATTCGGGAGTGTGCTGCGTGTAACAGTAGTGTACGTGTTGATAGCGCGGGAGGGGCCTACTATTGTCGCACCAGACGCGATCATGGCCAATGTCTTCTGTGCCCGATGCCGTGTACACGGAGATCTCATCCTAAGCGCCGCAGCCGGTTTTCTTCTTGGTGTGATAGCTTGGGTATAAGACATTAACATCACGTTGTCAAGATCCTGAGGCGAATGTTATCAAAGTCCGAGAGTCGGTCGTAGGTGTGTGGGGGGCAGGCATCAAGAACTTGTAGGATGGATGAGCTCTCAAGAAGTGGCAAAACAGCTGTGCAAGGTGCAGCAGTTTCCTGCGTACCCAGAAGATGACAGTTTTGCAATCGCCTCGTACCTTATCCAAGGTTGGCGAAGAAAAATTGCGAATACCTGTACGATTGATGTGGTCAACTCTCGTCTAATGGCAGTGGCACTTTATTTTCATTCGAGTTTCGCTGTATCCGGACCTTCCTCTGTTCCCGATTTCGCAGGGAATTTTTTTTTTAAGGAAGGAAGCTACCGTTGTTCATTAGCCAAACAGAAGCCACCGTCTCAGAAGGGTCCTTCCTTTCTTGCACGAACCAGCAGATGTGAGGGGAAGAACGAGCCGCAGGAAGGTACGAATACTAAGGTTGGTGGTAGGAGCTTTTCTTATCGTCATGCTTTATCCGCATGGATCTCACCCGGGAAGCTGTAGGTAATTGTTTTGTAAACATTTACTCTGTCTCGTCTAAAGAGTACTCTCAACTGTCCTGGACTCGAATCGATTCCTTCCAGCGACGAAGTTGCGCTGATTGTCGCATTAGTCGTTCCTCATTGTGTTCTTCTTTGCCAAACTCACCCCTCAGATGTCATTCGCAGACCCGTTACATCTCACGGGCCGACTAATCCCCGCCCCAAGGTAGCATCACCGGCAACAAACCATACAGTCAACATTACATCCTCTGCCCGCTTAGTAGCCAAAGTGGCCGCCATTCCACTCTTGGTCGATTTGCACAGCCACGCGGCACCACCCAAAGAGAACGGCGTCCAGCAAGCGCCCCGAGACAGGTCTTTCGTCAAGCTACCTAAGACTCTTGATATCGTCATACGGCCAATACGTCACAATCGCCTTGCGCTTTCGCTACCCTCGAGCACATCGCATCTTCAACACAACACAACATCACGGCTGTCCATGAGGTACCATCCTCACACATGGATTCATGGACTCGGCGATAGAATCCCAGTTCCGACCGAACGGCGGTCTTAACGGCGGCACAAACGGCCATATTAGACCTTCACACAAGGTCGCTACGGACGGAGCCATTCGAGGGTTACTTTCGCGTCAGAACAATAATGACACACGGGGTGGACTGTTTGGTGATGAGGAGGATGAAGAGGAAGAGACAGAGTCGCCAACCGAGTCGTCCGTGACAAGTCCGTCGTCAGTGACGTCGCCTCCGTATTGGCTCGGCCACCACCAGCGCTCGATTTCCAATATGTCGGTCGAATCAGTGCTACCCGCCGGCGCGATCACAATGCACGATAACGAAGCGAGCGACGTCAATGGTCGAAATCGAGCCTGCTGGGCAAAGAGTGTCGAGATTGCCGACTACGTCGTGGTGAACGGCAGCGCAACCAACATCGGGGCATTTGTTGTTTGGAACATAAGAGTCGAGACATTGCAAGTCAGTGATGACCCTGGCTCGAAGAATAAAGGCCTAAAGAGCACAATTCGAGGTTACGAGCGCAGTTGCTGACAAGACGAGTGCAGGGGAGCTATATGAACATCCGAAAGCGATACTCCGAGTTCGACGACCTTCGCGAAAAGCTGGTCAAGACGTTCCCCGATTTCGAAGCAGCAGTACCACCTCTACCACCCAAGAGTGTGATATCCAAATTCCGGCCCCGTTTCCTCGATAAGAGGAGGGCAGGGCTACAATATTTTCTCAAGTGCGTCTGCAAATGCATGTGCAGTAGATGCCTTTCGGATGGTTGCTAACGATTCACAGTTGTATAATGTTGAATCCCGAGTTTTCTGGGTCGCCAGTACTCAAGGAGTTTCTCTTCTCGTAATGATAGTGTCTGAATACCGAAATCAACTTACTTCTTGTACATTTTTGGGGGGGATATATTGGCAGAGCTGACACGGCTAGGTATCTTGGGCGTCTTCCTCGCGCGGACGTCGAACGGGCAAAAGAATGATGGCCATCTGCACGTACATAGCGGTTTCAAACCGGTTGGACCATGCAAAAACATCAATAATGATAATGTTTTGCGCTATGAACCATCTTTCTTGGACGGCCGTTGTCGAAATATCTACCCATACCGAGAGATCAGTGACAGCTGGTGACAATAAATTCATCAGAACGGTGGCCGCCAAGCCCGTTGCCGGAAAAGTCTCGGCGGCCGCGGCCGCGTGGGGTACAGTGGAGATGCCAGAAAAAGGCAGGACGTAAAGATGCGCCGCCGGACATGGTCCGTGGCGATGTGCTGTTCCCGCCGGCGTGAGTCGGGCCACGCTGGTTGGGCTTTTGAGGGGGCTCCCCCACAGATTGACGCGTAATGTTCAGCAGGATGTACAGGGCTGGGGAGCGTCACTGCTGACTGGCAGTTGAAAACGTGAGAATGGTCAAGGGTCTTTTGGGGTCCAAAGATCTTTCCTTGCAAATTGAACAAGATCGAGACACAAGAAAGCCTAACTCAGCCCCGTTTCTCTTCGTAAAGACAGCGGTAGGAAAAAACTAAGCCTAGCGTCCGGTCGTCTATAACACAGGGAACTTTGGATAGATTTGCTATTTGCGGATGGTCGTTACGATATCCGCTAGTTCCAGGTCCCTCAAAGTGGCAGTTGGTGTTACGCTGCTGGAGGTCACCACCTATTCGGGAGGTTCTGCGGACTGCGAAGGGCACCGGTGATGGGCGCATAGACAGACGGCCGCGTGCCGACGGCCCCCATCCGCGATTCCGAGCAGAACAGTCCATCGTGCGTCACAGCCCGCGGTGTGGTATACACGCCAGCGATAGTCGGCTGAGCAAACTTGATCACTGAGTTTTCTGCTTTTATGCTGTCCAGAAACAGTTGGCAACTTGGCACTGCCGTCGCCCCTAAGCCTTACTCTTCCACCCCACCGGCAAGGGTGTCCCCCGTGGTACCTCATGATGCAAGGCGGGCAAGTGTTTGTTTTTTTGCGTAGTGTTTTTTCCTCCTTCCAGTAGACTCTGTTCATTGTCTTGTCATTAAGGCGTCGCCGAGATTTAATCCCATGCCACCGGCGAGGATCTGAGAGCGCCCCACGAATGCAATATATTTCTCGATCGGTCACTCCTCCTGGGCGCATTCTTTACACTGCTTTTTGCTCTCCCTCCTTCTCCTTCTCTTCCAATTTTAGACCGCGCAATTTCCCGTTCTGCTTTACCTTACTCAAGTAATACTTTGACATCCATGTCCTTACAGCCGTACGGATAGTAATCATTATATGCTTACTTCAACCCCATCTCCGTTCCATCTTATGGCTCCTGCGCTTTATTACACGCTCAAGCTGCTGACTCCGTTCCACCCTCAACCTTGCGGGTGACTACCTCAAACAGCTATCAAGGAACGTGACGTCGCTGTTGCTGTCTCCGAAGAAACACCAACCTTGGAACCAACATAAGCTCCAAACCCAACCAGCAGCAAGAAAGTCATAGTTCGAAACGAAACAGACCACCGAACGCAACTCACCTAATCCACACACACACTTGCACACACACGCACACATACATAAACCGACACATAGAAATAGGCCTGATGCCTGCGCCAACCGGCTCTCGGATCAGATCCCTATCCCTACTCTTTCGTCACGACCGGGCGGACCCCGCCATTCCACCAACCGCCATGACGAAACCCGCCCACGAGCTCGACTCTATACCGGTTCCAGCCCAGCAACTTGCTTCTGGTGGCGGTGCCGTGTCTCCGAGCGACGCTTCTGCCTCGTCTGCGCCCACGTCTGCGTCTGCACCACCACCACCCCAAAAGACCCCTCTTCTTCACCAAAAAGATGCTCCTTTTAACGGTGCCGCCGCCGCCGTTATTACCCCGCCGGCCAGTCCCCCCGTGCCAAGACCTATCGACGAACAAGACGAATCCCACTCCATATTTTCCCCTACTACTACTGCGACTACCACTACAGATACAACCGCCACCACGGCAGCCACCACTCACACGGCTGATTCTGCAACGGCCCCCCCTAGTGACGACACATGCTCATTGGCGCAGTCGCAGACGAGCACAAACTACAGTTCTCGCCAGGAGTACATGGACAGTTTGGTCCCGCCGTCCCAAGATCAATTCGAAAAGATTGCAGAGGTACAGCGCACGCGCGAGGAGGAGCTAAAGAGGAATAAGTCGAAGCGCCAGACACAACACCTCCACGACCACTTTCACAACGTCCGGCGCTCACAGGACGGACAAGGTGACGCTGCCGGGGACATTTTCGACGAAGCGCAAATAATGTCGCAAGATCCACCGCCAGCTTCAGCCAAAGAGGGCGATCAGGGCGACAGCGAGGCGATCAACAGAGCCGCGGCGCTGATCCAGCGCAACTACCGGGGTTATCGCGTGCGGAGGGAGATGCAGGGCATGGGGCTGAACGCATCGACGAGATGGGTCTCGGCCATTGACGAGCTGCAGTTCCGCGAGCTGAACCGGCCGCGCGCAAAGAGCTCCGTCGGCGCTGCTGCTTTGTCTCCCACCGGCGACAGACACAGCGTGCTTTCGAGAGACGAGGAGGGCGGCATGAGTCGTCCGTCAACAGCTCGTGAGAACTGGAGGAAGGCGGCGACGATTGCGCGGCGCGCGGGGCACGATGATGTCGAGTCCGACTCAGACTCCTCTGCGTCCTCGTCTGAATCAGATACGCCTGAGAAGAGGGCCGAGAAAAAGAAGAAGCGCGAGGAGGCCGTAGCGAGGCGGAAGAAGGATTCCAAGATGATGGGGTTGCAGTATTTCCTAGAGATGGTTGACCTCAAGCACCGCTACGGGAGTAACTTGCGCGTGTACCACGAGGAATGGAAAAAGTCCGACACAACGGAGAACTTTTTCTACTGGATCGATTACGGCGGCGGAAAGAATGTCGAGATGGAGGCGTGTCCCCGCGACCGTCTCGAGAGGGAACAGGTGCGCTATCTGTCCCGCGAGGAGAGGCAATTCTACCTGGTGCAAGTCGACGACGAGGGACGGCTATGCTGGGCCAAGAACGGCGCGCGCATCGACACGACCGAGGCATTCAAGGACAGCATCCACGGCATCGTGCCCGCAGACGACCCGACGCCGGCGTGGTCGCAGAACAACACACCGCAAACGTCACCCGGAGCCGAAGCCGCCGACGATAGCCGCTCCGAATCCTCGGTAGAGTCAGCACTGGAAGCAGATCGCGCGGCAAAGTACGCCACGCCCGAGGTCGACGGAGCAACGGGCATGAAGAAGGTATCGCACATCTCGGCAGCGACAATCTTCAACAAGATGCTGCGCAAGTCGGTCAAAAAGAACACGTGGATCTTTGTCGCGGACACGAGCTTCCGCCTGTACGTGGGCATCAAGGCGTCGGGCGCCTTCCAGCACTCGAGCTTCCTGCAGGGCAGCCGCATCTCCTCGGCGGGCCTCATCAAGATCAAGGACGGGCGGCTGTCGAGCCTGTCGCCGCTCAGCGGGCACTACCGCCCTCCGGCGTCCAACTTCCGCGCCTTCGTCAAGAACCTCAAGGAGGCGAAAGTCGACACGTCCCACGTTTCGATATCGAAATCTTACGCCGTGCTCGTCGGGCTCGAGGTCTACGTCAAGTCGCGGCAAAAGGGCAAGAAGGCGATCGAGAAGATGACACACAAGAAGGAGAAGATTATGGAGCCGGAAGAGTTCCGGAAGCGCGAGGAAGAGGCCAAGGATAAAAGCGAGAGCGCGGCTAAGGAGCGAAAAGTGCTCGAGAAGGAGGCCGAGGAGAGGGAGGAGAACAAGGCTGCGGTCAAGTTGCTGCGGAAGCTGAATCTGGCGCCGCAGGTGCCGGCGGGCCAGAGGAGTGGCGAGGGTGAGGAGGAGGGGAGGGAGGAGCCTGTGATGGAGACGTTGGCGGAGGAGAGGACGAGGGAGGACACGGCTGCAGCTTCTTCTGCTGCTACTCATCCCACTTCTTCATCTGCAAGGGCCTAGGTCGCCTCGACTTGTCTCTGGATTCGGTGTGGTGGGTAAGAGAGAATGGGCTCTAGATCCATGGAGATGACGGGCTGATTGGATTCTGGATTGGGTGAAGTCGTGGTTTTTTGCTTCAAGAGTTCTTTATACCCCCCTTGCACGGCCTTGCTTTGGAAACCAGTATTCTGAGCGTTTAGAACGAGAGGTAGATGACAATGTCTAATGAGTAGTCTATGATTGACGAAGCAATTTTTTCCCCTCAAACCATTCGCCTAAATCCTTCCATGGTCATTATCATGTTCCCCGAACCACTGAGCCGAACGTCTATATAGATCATACCTCAGGTACGTGACGAAAGCTCTCCAGCCGCAATGTGTTCCAAGCAACAATGCCATTCCGGGCTTTGAAGGTACTGGTGCCTCATCCTATTTTGCGAATCTCAGAGATCTTACTGCCCCGGTCGTGGAGGCATGTACCCCTTTGCGTTTCCCTAGAGCCTTTTAATAGTCTCAAGAGTAATTACTACCACGTCGGCTTATCAATAGTTCGCCTCGTGAACGTATTCGTTGATGGATACGTTTAGTCTGAACGAGAGTACGGGACTACCGTGCTTCTCCCTTAGCTTCTTACCTCGTGGGTATATTTACTAATGGATACGCCTAGTACGAGCAAGGGTATAAAGGCTATAATAATTCTTTATTAGTTTCCTACCTCGTGAGTTTATTTGTTAATGAATATAATATGCCTAGTACGAACTAGGATGTAGAATTTTATACCTTTTCTTCTTTTCTTATCTCATGTAAAACCATCTACCTTGTTGATCACTAGAGTTAGTATTGAAGAGGGCTTGAGATCTGCCTTGTTTGTTTTATTTTTGCTTTGCCCCCTGGGCGTCTCTGCTATCAAGTCT